CTAACATTTAGGGTAGAACAAGAAGAGAGCCTTAGGGAGATCAACAGGGCCTACTGCTTAGGCGGGAAGAAGCCGGGAGAGGGTGCTGCACGGAGCCAAGGCAGGGCTTGGGTAGAGAGCTGGCAGTGTCCAGATGCCAGGGGCTGAGATAAGGTGCAAGGGGTGACACTGATCTGGCAACCTGGAGGTCATTAGAGTAGACTAGAGTACAGTGATGAAGCAGAGATGGGTATAGACAAATACTAGAAGATTGTGATTTTTGTCAGTGGGATAATGATATCAAGAGAGAATTTCAAAAGGAAAGAGATGTGGCTGGACATGGTGGTGCACACCTGTAATCTTTGCACTCAGGAGGCTGAGGAAGGAGGATTGCCAAGAGTTTGAGGCCAGCTTGGGCTATGTAGTGAACTCTAGGCCAGCCTGAACCACACAGTGAGACCCTGTCTCAAAAAAAACCAACCACCAACCAAAACCAACCAAACCAAAAAACAGGAAAGAGATGAAAATATCGCATATTTTCGGAAGGGGCAGTTGTTAGGCAGGAGAGAATGACGCCATCTGTTGAGCATAATCTGGGGTAGGTGAGAAGGGGTGACTCTGGTGTCTAAGAAAGGTGTGCAGCAGGGGCAGCGGCACTCTCTCCCCTGTGGAGGGGGGAAGGCACAGCACTTGGGCCCCTATTTTGGGAAGGCGGCAGGCTGGCCATAGGGCTGCAGAGCCGGCCTTGCTAGTTGCTTCTTTCCCCAGGGGCATTTGGTGCCTGGCCATTGGCTGAAATGGACTCTTGGGAGAATGCGGGCTGGAGGTTTTATTTATTTATTTATTTATTTATTTATTTATTTATTGTGTGTGTGGCCAGCTCAGCCCACCAGGGGGCGGGGCCGGCTGGCATGTGGTGCTGGGGGATTGAACCGCGGTCCCTGTGTTTTGCTTGGCTTAGCTTGTTCTAAGTAGGTGCTTTAGACCACCAAGCCATCTCACCAGCCCCACGGGCTGGAGGTTTGAGGAGAAGGTGTGATATCGTTCTCTGGGATAATATGGTTAAAGTTTAATATAATGTGAAATTTCTTAAGAGATGTTGAGTGCCCATGGAGCTTTGTGGTCTGAAGTCTAATCTGAAGCCCTCAGTCCAGCTGTACTGTTTGGTACTCAGGAGCAGGTACCACATGGAGAAGGTCTGCCAGTGAGGGCTAGAGAGGCCCACAAAGCAAGGGAGTGGAGGACACCAGTGAGGACATGGCTATTTAGGGTCCTGCGGGGCCTAAGCTGGAGAGGAGAGAAGGGAGCCCAAGAAAGTGGTGGTGGGCAGTGAAGGAGTGGGGGGCCACGGGGTTGCACTGAGGCTTGTGGGGGCAGGAAGGGCGGTGAGGGAGCTGTGTCCACAGGAGACTGCACACCTCTTGGCATAGTCAGGGCCTGCGTGGAACAGTGCATGTGGGAGGGTTTGATGGGCAAGAAAAATAACTTGTTGGGAGTCAGGAAGTCAGGGAATTGAGAGGCCAGGGTGTAGGTGTAATAACAATAAGTTTAATAATAAGTGTAGGAGTAGCGAGAGACACAATGAGCCAGTGACTAAGACGAAGGATTGGGAATAACCAGGGTGTCTTGTTTATACCTCAAGTTCAATCAGTTTGAAACTGAAATCATTCTTCCCCCTCAAAGCTACTCCTTTGCTGGGGCTCCTCTCCAGTACGGGCATTGTCACCTAGAGCCAGAAGCTTGGGTGTTACTTTGATTCCTCGCTGTACCTGATTCCCACACCCAACGGAATCATCAGATCTTTTTGATTCTATCAGACACATTTCACGACTCCAGCTACTTCTTTCCATCTCCACTGCCCAGGCCCTGCCTAGTTGAGGCTATTGTTGTTTCTTGTTCAGATTATTGCGTCAAATTCCAAGCAAGTAGCTCTGCCCTGGTCCTTCCACACTGCACCAGGGATCGTGTCACCTCTGTGTTACTTCTCTCCAGAACCTTGTAATTGTCCTTAGGACCAAGTCCAACATCACTGACAGTGGTTTACAAAGACAGCACTGCTCACTGCAGCCTGACTCTTCACCACTGGCGCCTGCCCGACTCAACCATCTTGAGTTTCTTTCAGTATTTGTCATTAGACTTGCTCTCCCTTTCATAGGCTATCTCTTTCACTTAGCAAACCCATCCTTTTTTTCTAGGTGACAGTGTAAGAAGGGACAAGGAGTCCTTTCCTGGACACCTGGATGTCAGATTCTACTTCCTGGCTCTCTGAACCCCCAGTACTTCTCCACGAATGTGGTAGCTGTCCTCTTCCCTAGATTAGCTGCTTTTTGAGATCAGAGACTGTGTCTGATTCTTCCTACAGTTTAGCAAGAAGTGTTCACATGGAAGCAAGCAAGCAGTCAATATTTGTTGACCTGAATCCAATGGAAGGTTCTAGAGGTGGAGCAGTTGTGGGTGATGACAAGATCGAGGGTGTGCTTCTGTAGGACCATTGTAGTGGAAGAAACAGTAATCCAATGAAAAGGAGAGTATGAAACAAAAAAAAAAAAAAGAAAAGTAAAGTATGAAATTCCAGTTGACCCTATGGTCTCTGAGGCTTTAGGAAAGCAACAGGAGAAGACTTTTGGCCATGGTTTCTGACCTGAATGAAAGAGGAGAAGCTGATGGCAGCAAGGGTATGGGAAAGAGGGTGCAAGGGGAAGATGGTAGAGGCAGGTACAAGTGGGATTTTCCAGAAAGGTGGAGGTGTAGGGATGTGAGTGGTGGTGAGAGTGTGGGGGACCGAGGGTACCATGGCCAGTGGCTGAAGTGTTGCCTCAAGGTTTAGACTCAGACCCTGTAGCGGGCCCAGGCTGGTCTCATGGTGTTGTGCTTCACCTAGGTCATGGCTCAGGAATCCACACCTCCAGGAAGCACAATGATGAGGAGAATGCTGAAAGGTGGTCCAGTTCTGAGACAAACTTATCATATGGCAGACCCAGCAGCAGCCCCTGGAGTGGGCTTCTGGACTCTCAGGAGGAGCTAGTCGTGGCTGATTCCTGGCCTGGACTTGGGAGCCCTTTGAGTGATGTGGAACCAGCTGGCTCAGAGGAAGTGCTGCTCTATCCTGGGTGGAATAGGCACAACCCTGGTGTGGACCAGGGATGAGAGCCACCATTGGCTCCTGGGGTTGGGAGTTTAACACATGGTACTGAGCCCTACCCATGGCCCCATTACTAGGGACACCCTTTCCCCATTTGTGGTGAATATTAGCTGCTCCTGGATCATAGCTGACCCTGGAGAGATGACCTCGTCTGAGCAGAAGCCACTTGCCACTTTCTGCCATCGGGTTGGCTTGTAGCCAGTGACTGATGGGGGAGTTCAAGAGTTCTGTGCCCTTGCTCCAGAGTTGGACCATGCTGGTGGGATTCATGACCCAAATACCCCTTGCTCCTGTGAATCAGGGCATGCTACAGCTCCCTGAGTACGCAGCTGGCTCGGGTCAGCCTCCTCCTGTCCTGCTCCTGCTGACCTTGATTTGTACAAAATCCCTGCCCCAGGCTCTGCTTCTAAGGAACCTGGGTGACTCTGGTCCTCATAAGCAAGGGTGGACATGGAGTCTATCCCAGGGCCCTGGAAGGTGCCTTCTGTTCTCTATGTGCAAGATCCTTTACTTGTACATAAGAACTTTAGGCTGGATTTAGTCAGTAACACCCCCCTCCAAGAAAAAGAAGCAAACAAATGAACAAAAAGTCCCCAATTTTCTGACCCTCCAGTGAGTCTAGGTGTGGTGGAAAATTCAGATAAACAAGTCTCAGTCATTTCCTAAGCGACTCACAGTCCATTTAGTCACTTAACAAACATTCATTGGAAGCCCGCAGGACTTGGTGACTCAGCACCCTACCCTTACAAGGCTCACAGGCTGAAGGGGAACACTCAGAGAAGCCAGCCATTCCAACTTGGAAGAGTGGCAGATGAGAGGCACAAACTAGGCTGGGATATGAAGGGGCAGTGAAGGTTGTCATTGGGTTTGAGAACAGGACACAGGGGAGGTAGGTGGGGCATTCCAGGTGCAGAGGGAACAGCATGACAAAGGCCTGAGGCATGGCGGAGCAGGAGGCATGTCTGCTTGGGGAATTGCCAGCCCTGTGGTGTTACTAATGGGCAAAGACAAGGGAGGAAGCAGGAAGCCAGGGTGGAGGTGCAGGCTGGGGGCAGCCGTGGTAGAATTTTTACAGCAGGAGGAGTTCTGTGGTTGGATTTATGTGTGATTTGTCGCTTCATCCTGTAGCGCAGGCATCAGAGAGGCCAGGGAGAGGAGGGGAGCGAGGCTGTGGAGTGGGAAAGGGGGCGCCTGGAGAGGTTGGGGTCAGTGGCCTTGGGTGCTGGGTTGGGATGCCAGGTGTGAAGGGCTAAGCCAGGCAGGCCAGCTTCTGGTGTGAAGCATGGGGTGGCAGTGTCCTTCATGGGCTGAGTGTGGGTTTGAGGTCACCAGGCATCGGGTAAGGTGGTGAGGTCAGTGTGGAGTTGCTGAGTGAGATCCCCAGAGAGAGGCAGAGCAGTAGAGGTGGGGGAGGATGAAGTCACTCAGGTAACGCATATCGGCGAAACCCAGGAAACTGCACAGATGTGAGGACCCACGATATGTCCTGGGAGACCCATCTGGACTTGCTTTCAGCGTTGTGCCCTCCCAAGGGCTCCCCTGCCTAAGATCTGTGCTGGGCAGGGTGGGGGGGGGGGCTGGGACAGGAAGGCATTTGACAAGACACTTCCTGGGTGGGGGACCTGCTGGGCACAGTGTCTTGGTGGCTCCTCCTCCTCCTCCCTTGGCCTGCAGAGCTTGGAGGCCCTGGGTATAATAGTACCTGTCTTTGGACATTTCCCTCTGTGTCCTGGGTGTGTGTGCCCAGGGGAGTGTGTGGGTAGATCTGAGGTTTTGGGGCACAGGTACCCAAGGAACAGTTGTGGCTTCTTTCTTGTGGGTCCATCTGAACCCCTCACTTCCCTCCTCAGCACTCCCCACATGGTCTAGAAAGTACTAGAAAAGTCATGTTTATTGGGGGGGTTGATGTACCCTGTTGCCGCATACAAAGTCCCCACCAGCTATCAAGTCTCCTGAGGCTCCGGAGCCAGGAGCTGAACCATGCTCCTCCCACTGCACACTGGCTGCAGCGGTGGCTTCCTGAGACCCGATGGTCACTCTACCTACTGGCTTCTACCCTTGCCTGTTTTCCATAGAGAAACCTACCTGCCACCTCAAAGGTTATGGATACCCACTTTCGTCTATTAAGGCCGACCCAGCCTTCATCAGTACAGAGTTCCCATCCTGGGCATGCCCTCCCTGGGAGACCACATATGGTGGGCACGTATCTGGTAGGTGATGCCGGTGCCGAGCCTTCCGGCGTCGGGGGCCCAGGATCTCCATGCACCTCTTGCCCACGAGGTAGGTGACCTCACAGAGGTTGAGCAGGATACAGATGGAAGCCGTGCCCACCATGAAGTAGGTGAAGATCTTCTTCTCCGTGGGCCTGGAGATGAAACAGTCCACAGTGTGGGGACAGGGGTCTATGCTGCAGTGCACCACGCGGGGCAGGTCGTAATCCTTGTAGAGGCGGTGGAAGATGTAGAGGAAGGCCAAGTCCACGGCGGCCTTGAAGAGGAGACTCAGCAAGTATGTCCACCAGAGCCCGCCCCGCTTCTTGTTCAGGTTGCTGTACAGGGGGCGGGCGTTGGGGCCGTGTTTCATCTGGTGCCTCCGCTCCCGCTCCTCGCGGTAGGCCACGTGCATGACCACCAGCAGCGAGGGGCACGTGACCAGGATGAGCTGCAGCGCCCAGAGGCGCACGTGGGACACGGGGAAGAAGTGGTCGTAGCAGACGTTGGGGCATCCCGGCTGGAGGGTGTTGCAGACGAAGTCCTTTTGCTCGTCATCCCACACGTCCTCCGCGGCCACCACGTACACCAGCACGCGGAAGACGAACACCACCGACAGCCAAATGCGGCTCAGCGCCGTGGAATACTTGTTCACACCACTCAGGAGGCCCTGCAGAAATGTCCAGTTCATGCTGGCTACTTCCTCAGCCTCTCGCGTAGACGGGTCTACACCTGTGTGCCACCCACTCAGGCCTTGGGAGCCCTGAGGCCTGGAAGAATCTGGAAACGGGTGCCCTTAATGAGGGTGTGGTAGATAAAATCATCTCACAACCCCCAGGTCATTATGTCCTCACTTGCAAGGGCCGGCACAAGGAAGGGCTGGCATTGTTCCCATTTCACAGAAAAGTAAGCTAGGGCCCGGGGCACCCACCCAAGGCCCCACAACTAGAAGCAGTGGAACTGGTCTTGAACCTTGGTCTTCAGGTTCCGAAATCAGGGTCTATTTTATTCTATAAAGTAATAAATACATGTGAATATATCATCCTGCACGGACCTGCCAGCCAGGGTCAGCACCGCATGTTTTAGCCTAAAGACCACGGATGACCCATTAGCTGTCCCATAGCTGCCCGACTCATCTATAACTTTCACTGGGTGCCATAAGTGCTGGACCCTGGGCTCTGACATCCACATCAGCCCTGCCACATCCCAGAACAGCCTCCTTCCTCTCCTGTTTGGCTCCAGGAGGCTTCCTAGATATTCCTTTCCAAAGTGAACAGAGGCACTCTGGAACAGCGGTGGCTTGGTATTCACACACACACACACACACACCCACACACACCCCACTGAGTGAGTGTTGGGGCCTATGGCTGCCCACTGTGGGCTCCTTTGGGATTGCAACTACATGAGCTTTAGTGAGGACCAAGGGAAGGTCTGGAGGCTGGACTCCAGCCTGGGCTGTGCCGGTCTCAGGGACACTTCCTTCTCTGCTTAATGGCTGTTTTCATTCAGGTCCCCCTGCCCTACACCCTTGCCCCCATACTCCCTTCCCAGGACTCCTATTGTTTTCCATTCCCAGTCCTGCCCTCCCTGTTCCGGAGTCAGCTTCTACCTTCTTCAGCCACCGCCATATCCCCAGGACACATGCTGAGTCCTCTGCCTTCTGAGGTGGAGTATAGCACCAGTACTCAATGGCCCGCTCACCTGTTTTCCTTGCCTGACTGCCAGCTGCTGGGGTTACTCTACCCCTCCCTCATCTATCTCCCCAGACCCAGCCCTGGGCTGGCCCAGGGAACACACAGTTAGGTTCTGAGACTTCTCTTGGTCTCCTCCTCCTTTGGCTGGCAGGGTATACCTTTCTTTCTTTGGAGCTTCCTTGGGGCTCCTCCAGGCACCTGAGCCCCCATCCCACTGTCCCACCTCGCTAAAGCCTGGCCCATAGCCTGAGACCCCTTGGACATCTGCAGCTGCATGGGTCCCTCTTCCCAGCCCCTTCTCCAGCCCTGTTTGGTCCTCACCTCTCCCTTCAGGTGGGTGCAGCTGTCTCTCCTGTCCCTGGGCTGCCCGGCTGCCCAAGTGCCTCCCCAAGTAGCTTTTGTTCCTTCTCAGCAGGGTGGGACTTTCTGAGCCAATGAACCAAGCAAGAGTGATTGGGTGGGTAGGCAGGGCAGGCTGGGCGGGCTGACTTCCCCGGGGAAGAATTCAGAGCAAACACCTGCGGCTCTTCTCTCCTGGCCCACGCTTCCTCTCCCAGTTCAGCTGGGCTGCCAGGTATGTGGGTGAGAACGCAGAGGGGGGTAAGAGCTTGGTGTCATGTGTCAGGCCAGGACAGCACTGGTGGCACTGACCTCTGCCCCCCTTCCTGATGCCTCTGTGTCTCACTACATTGTCCCCAGCCCCCTATTCTGGAAGCCTGGTTCTGAGGTCCCCAGCACCCGACATCTGTGGAAAGTGGCAACCTCGATTTAGCCTGGGACAGTGCCCTGCCCTGGTGGGGATATTTCTGCCAACTACAGCTTGGGTTGCTCTTGGTTGAATACATGGTGAGAGAAGCTGACTAGAGCTTGTGTAGACCAGGCACCTGCTGCCCTGCTGGAGATGAGGAATGCAGGTTAGCAGTGTGGAATGCCTCAGTGGGCATGGAGCCAGGCATGGCCTTGCTGTCCATCCTTGGAGGCCTAGGCCTCTGTGCTTCTGGGAAAGTCTTCCAGGAAAGCTGAAGGCGACCAAGCAGGGGCTGCAGAGCAGTCTGGAGCCCTGGCTGCCTGGGATCGTGAAGGTTAATGTGCAGCCAAGGAGCAGGCCCTCTGCCTGCCTTCCTGTAGCAGGGATTAACGTTTATGTGACCTTTTATAGCGGGCTCACCCTCTTCACAGCGGTGACCTCACAGCTGCCTCACAGGTTAGTCATTCCTAACCCATTTTGGAGAGGAGACGCAGTCACTTTTCCGAGTCCCAGTTGTGCTCGCCTTGAATGCAGTTGTGCTGGCTCCAGGGTCCATGCTCTTTCCACGTCACACTCCATTCTTTACGGCGCCATCTCATGGGCCTAAACCTGCAAGAGGGACTGAAGGCTAGCCTGCAGCATGAGCACATGGCATGGTCCCTGGGGTGCTGGGGCAGCCTGTGCAGGAAAGGAGGTACCTCAACCTGTAGATCAAGTGTAGTCTTCTGCAAGGGCAGAGAGATGCACACTGGAGTGATGGTGGTCACAAGGTCAAATGACAGAGGGCACCTTGGATCAGTGAATGCATTGACCTTTATTAAGCCCTGACCCTGGGCCTCACATCCAGGGTGCTTGCCCACCTGTTCTCCAACTAAACATCTCCCTACCACCCCACCCCCATGTGGTTGTCCTCTACATCAGCATTTTGCAGCAAAAGAAACAGGTACAGGGCAGTCCAGGTCCCCAGAGCTGGGGCCAGGACTTGGGCCCCATGCTGTCGGAGTCCTCCTTCCAACTCATCACCCTGCTCCTCCAGCCTCAGACTATACTTGTGAGAGAAGCCAGGACCTCCCAGGCCAGACCCACCCCACAGGTCCACCCAGGCAGCTCCTCACACAACAGTTTTCTTCACGTAGTCTCGGGGGCAGTCGGGCATGAGCGGAGGGTGAGTGTCAGAACCCAGGAAGATGAGGTCGCCTGAGAGGAGGTCGCTCTGTTTGCAAGACGTTGTGACACAGCCTGGGTGATGCCCCATGGGTGTGGCCTGTGCTTTCCCTGTCACTACAAACTCGCGACATCGCTTGCTCACGAGGTAGGATAGTTCCACAAGGTTGAGCAGGATGCAGATGGCGGCCGTGACCACCATAAAGATAGTGAAGATGTTCTTTTCTGAGGGCTTGGAGATGAAGCAGTCCACTGTGTTGGGACAGGGAGCCAAGTGGCACTTGACCACACGAGGGAGCATGTATTTGGGATAGAAAGAGTGGAACAAATAGAGGAAGGTGATGTCTATGCTGGCCTTAAAGACCAGGCTGCAGACGTACGTCCACCACAGCCCACCCCGCTTCTTGCCCGGGTCCGGGTACAGGCGCCCGCCACCTTCCCCAAATGCCTCTTGGTGCTTCTTCTCCTGAGCCTTGCGGTAGGCCACGTGCATGACCACCAGCAGTGAGGGGCACGTGACCAGGATGAGCTGCAGGGCCCAGAGGCGCACGTGGGACACAGGGAAGAAGTGGTCAAAACAGACATTGGAGCAGCCTGGCTGGAGGGTGTTGCAGTCGAAGTCCTTGTGGTCGTCACTCCACACACGCTCAGCCGTCACCAAGTACACCAGCAGGCGGAAGATGAAAACCAGAGACAGCCAGATGCGCCCAAAGGCGGTGGAGTACTTGTTGACCCCATTCAGGAGCGCCTCGAAGATCCCCCAGTTCATGGTGGACCCAAGTACTGCTCACCACTGCAAAGGAAGGATCAAAATAATTTCCCAAGTTGAAAGAAAGCTTGTTGAGTGCTTTATAGAATAGGCTCCATATTTAATCCTCTGCTCACAAAAGCAGGTGAAAGCAGGTCCAGGGAGCACCCCCTCCTCCAAGAGTCCTGCAGAGAGAAGACCGACTGGCGTCACACCTTCTGCCTTCTCTCGCTATTCAGCCATGGGGCCCTAGCTTTGGGGCACCCTCTCCTCTTTCTGAGCACCATTTTCTGAGTACCCTCAGACTGCCCCTCCCAAGGGAGGCCTGCTCTGTCCTTTGCTGGCTCAGTAGGTGGGACTGGAGTGGAGGCAGGAACTTCCTCTCAAGCCTGTCTCTGCTCTAACACTCTGTAAATATCTGGTCAGTGTCCTGCTCAGGTGGGCCTCAGCCAAATCAAGGTCACTGGCAGTGCAGCTGGGCTCTACGAGGATTCTGTGTTCAGAAGCAGTTAGTAGATGCTGGGCTCAGCAGAGCTAAATGGTCCCCTTACTCGACCATGCTACTAAGTTCACTCTGCGACTCTCCCAAAGAGGAATGAGCCAGGCAGCATCGCCCAAACTCTTCGGACCACAGAACCACTGTAGTGCTTTGGTCATCTTTCAAAAAAGCCTTGTTTGGACACTAACAGGGGAAAGGCTGCTCTGGGTAGCCCTGCTGCTGCATCTGGCTTGAGGAGCCATGGCAAACAGATTCACCTCCTTGCAGGGGTGAAGCTGCTGTGCAGAGAGCAAGGTGCCCGCTTCCTCCCTGAGAACTCCTCTGCTTAAGTCCCAGGGACACCGAGACCCAGGTACTATGGTCTCGCGCAGTGTGCACTCGGAGACCCCAGGGAGCCGGTGCTCTAAGGGGTCATGATGCCCTGCAAGCAAGGTCCAGGTGGAAGGTCACAGCCCTCCTGAGCCCCTGTGCTGTGTGCTTTACTACCGCCCAGCAGGGTGGCGGGAGCAGCCGGTAAGGGGAAGCTGTTCTAAACACAGTTGCTGGAGACAACACATTATTCTCTCGTAGTGACCCTGGAAAGGGCAGATCTTTTATACCCAGTTTACAGATGAGAAAAATGGAGCACCAAGCGATTAAGAAAAAAAAAAAAAAAAAGGGATCAAGCAATTGCTCAACCGTTACACAGCTAGTAAGTGGCAGAGGTGTGATTTGAACCCAGGCAGGCTGGCTCCAGGGCAACCCTCTGGGAACTGCCTAGTCGTGGGTGGTGCCCCTTTCCTCAAGTTTCGGTCCTCATGGTGGATTCCCTGAGGGAGCCTGGGGCGTCTCTCCTCCCTACACCGTCTCTACACCACCTCCCGCTTGGCCTCGGGCCCCTCTCTGAGTCATCGATTTTTCTGCACAATCCTGCCTCAGGTGGGTGGGTCTGGCGGCCTCTCCCGGAGCCCAGCCCTTGCCCTGGGGGCTCTCACCCAAACAGCCCTACACTCAGTAAGGGACAGGGAGGGCGGGGCCTGCCCGGAGCCGGGGTTCTCAGCCCCATCCCACTCATTACTTGCTCCTGTACCCCCAGGACCCCAGGGGCCGGGGCACCCAGGCTGTCTCCCTCCACTTGCCACCAGAGAAATCTCCCTTGCCAAGGGTGCAAGGGGCAGGGCACATCTGCACACAGATGCTTTTACCTGAGCCGCTGCTCCTCAGGGCTGTCTGGGACCCCGCTTGTGGCAGCTGGCAGTGGAAGTCAGCAAGTCGCAGGAAGTCATGTCAGAACTGGGGAAGGTGTCTGGGGAAGCACGTTCCTGGGCCGGAGCTTGCGGAGCAGCCTGGGTGTATGGGGCAGGCCAGGGGAGGAGGAGGAGCTGCGGCATGCGCTGCCATTGGCTGAGTCCGGCCTCCGGACAGCCTCCCGGGCGGCTCGGAGAAACAAGGATTCAATGCTCTCAGCGTGCGGATCCCAGGATCCTGAAATTCTCCCAGAGAACCACAGCTTCATGCCGAGTTCCTGCTTGCCCTAACATCCTTGGGCTTGTGTGGGAGAACCTGATTTGCGTCTCTCTTGATTCCGTTTCCAAACTTCTTGGCTGCTCTTAGCCCGCCCGTGGCTTCTGTGGGCTATTTGGGTTCTGGTCACTCTAGCTCTCCGTTCTCACAGCGCCAGCTGCCTTTGAAGCGTCTCAACCTGTATCTGGCCCAGAGCCTTTTTTCTCTTCATTTGCCCCGCCAGGGCGCCCTCTCCTGCCTTCCTCCTCGCTTGCCAAATCCTTTGAAACTTAATGGAGTAGAGTCTTGACTCAGCAGGACCGCACCCGAACTCCACACTCTTCTTCTGGGTTCCACACCTCTGCAGCTGGGTCCAGCTCCTGTGTCTGGTCCTCTCACTCCTGCTTCTGGGCCCCACATGCTGCATTTGGGTCCAACGCCCCTACATTTGGACCCCATACTTCTGCATCTGGACTTTAAGTTCCCAAATCCGGAGTCCATAACTCTGCCCCTATACCTCACAATATGGGCCCTCACCTCCGCCCCTGGGTCTCTTACCTCCGCATTTGGGCCCTATTATGCCCTTGCACCCGGAACTCCACAACTTGAATCAGCAGCCCACATCCTTGCTTCTGGAGCCCATACCTCTGTAACTGGGCTCCGCATCCCTGAATCTGAGCCGGTCACCTCTGTGCCTGGAGCCCCCACTCCTGTACCTCACAACCCTGCATCTGGAATCTCACAGCCTGCATTTGAACCTCCACCCTCCCAGATATTAATCTGTGGCTCATTGCTCCCTCTATGCACAAGGAGATGTCTTGCTCCTGTAGAAGGTGTCATGCAATAGTGGAGTAATAGAATGCACAGACAGAGTGGCTCCAACTCCTTACTCTGCAGCCTCAGCTTCTCGCCTGTAAATGGAAAAAACAGTAGCAACTCCCTGCAAGCGTGGGGGCATGGATTCCCCTGGCCTAGAGGTGAAGTTCTTAGAATGCTCTTGTCTCAGAGGAAGCTCTTTCTACAGTTGCTTCTAACAGATGTAAACTGTCTGGCAAAGGCAGGGTAGGTTAGTTATACCATTGTGAGAAGGGTTATAAAAGGCAGAGCAAATGAGCGTCAATATTTGCTAGAGGGTGACCCAGAGAACTAACATGTAAGCTGGTTCTTCAAGGACTTAGAGCTCACCAAGAGGAGCGAAGGAGAGGCCTTCCAGATGTGGGCACATAACATGCAGAGGAACCCTGTGAAATATGCTAGAAGGGTATTAGAGAGTGTGAGATAGGAGGTAGGCCAAGGACAAGAGAACAGTTGTGGGACACAACTTAAAAAGCCAGAGGGAACAAAGACAACTATGTGAGAACATTAGCAAACCCACAGATAAAGGTCATTCTGGCTGTCAACATCCCCAGGCATATGCAAAACTGGAAGTGCAGGATCCTGGCTTGTGTCCACTTCATCTGCATTGTGGATTTTACCCCCTCCCCACAGTAGACTTTGAACTCCATGACATCTTCTCTAAAAACCTCATAGGATCAGAAATTCCTCCTTCCAGGGCCAGTGAGATAGCTCTGAGGACTAAAGCGCCTGCTTAGGCAAGCTTAAGTAAGAGCAAGGACCCCGGTTTGATCCGGCGTGGTGGCGCACACCTGTAATCTCTACGCTAGGAAGGCTGAAAGCAGGAAGATCACTATGAGTCTGAGCTGTGTAGTGAGACCCTGTACCAAATACATTAAAAAAAAAAATTTCCACTCCTGATGGGTGGGCTGTGTCAGATACTCCACTGGTCCAGGACTCTTTTAATTCTGTTATTGCTCTTCCTGTAATCTCAGGACCTTAAGACACACAGTACCTGCCCTATTGTGGTCAGGAACTCTTCTCAATGGCCTGTTCCTGCCCTGTGGAGTGTATTTTTGCATCATTTACTTTCTTTCTTTCTTTCTTTTTTTTTTTTTTAATTTTATTTATTTATTTATGTGTGTGTGTGTGGCCAGCTCAGCCCACCAGGGGGCGGGGCTGGCTGGCATGTGGTGCTGGGGGATTGAACCATGGTCCCTGTGCTTTGCTAAGCTTGTTCTAAGTAGGTGCTTTAGACCACTGAGCCATCTCACCAGCCCTGCATCATTTACTTTCCATAAATCTTACTGTTTTCTCTTCTCCGCTCCTCTCCTCTTTCTTTCTTTGGTTTTTAATATGTAGTAAGTTTATTGAAGATCACAGGCAGCAGTAGAAACAGGCAGAAGGGTGAAGTGGGTTAAAAAAAGAGCCTTTGTACCTCTAACTTCCTGTGTTGTTGTTGTTTAATATAATGAATTATTATTTTTTAGTTCTTTATTTACTGGGTGCAGGGTCTTGCTATGCAACTTGGACTCATAGTGGTACTCCTGTCTTGGCCTTTCCAGTGCTGGGATTACAGGCATGTGCCACCATGCCCAGTTTCAGGGGCCAGCTCTGTGGCACAGCATGTGATGCCAGGACGGAACCCTGGTCCTTGCACTAGCCAGGCAGGCACTTAGACCACTGAGCTATCTCCCCAGTCCCAGGCTTCCTGCGTTTATAGGGTTAGACTTCCCTGGCCCTAGGTATCTCCTACTGTCTCTTTTCTCAAGTCAGCAATTTGCATAACCTCCTAAATTTAAGCCTGAATAATCAATAAGGTGCTGATGTGTTCATGGTTGAGTGTCTAGAAGGGAGGTAGCTCACACAACTTCCATGTTTTAGGATTACAGAAGCATGGGTAATCATTAGAGTGGCATGATGTTTACAGATGAACAAAAGCAAAGGGAGTCACTTGGCTCCTTTGTTTCTAGCTGTTCTATCTCCCCTTGAGAGCTCTAGTGCCCAAAACTCTTTGAGGGAAATTAAAGGAGGAAGTTCCGTCTTCTGAAGCTACTTCTGGCTGGACAGGGGCTCTGATGGATAGAGGGCCCCTGACCATTACGGGAGTTCAAAGGAGTTGAGCCCATTCTCTGAAGGTATTGCTGGATGAACCATGGGCTTGGAGGTGGACTCTGATGTCCAATTATGGTCAATACCAGTAATTTGACCGCTGTCAAGAAGAAACAAATTTGAGAAAGAGATTATAGAAGATCTAAATGTAAGGCTGTGAGAAACAGCAATAAAGGCTACGTCCAGACAGTGACCAAGACCTCCAGTTCCAGACATTTGGGTAGAACATCTATGATTCCAGTAGTTTAGGGATCTTGGAGACATGGCCAGCCACTTTTTGTGCTGAGTCTCTTATTATT